AGAGAAAAATAACCTGAAAAAATCGAACATCTTACCAGTTTAGGGACCCCGTGTAGACTAACCAACACGTTGTTCGTTTTTAAATCAAAATGGGCTACATTCCGTTGGTGCAGGTGCCCAACAGCCATACAGACGCACGTGGCAATATATTTCACCATCTGAAGAGGAACTACGTCCCTAAGAAATAAATAAATGCAACTGTCAGTATTATATTCAGGTCAATATTAAAGGAAATAATATTTTGTTGAATAACAAATTTACTGTGAAATAGATATTTTTTATGATCGTACAAGATAAAATCGGAAAAAAATGAAAGTATTATTTAAAGAAAAGAAAGTAATATAATTACTTACAGGAAAGTTTCCCAATACTCTTGGAGAATTTCAAGGTCCATCGGACACAATTCCGATAGTAGAACTGGAAACCCAGGTCTAACATCAAATGAGTGAACGAGTCTGGAACGGAAATTTCTCATATCAGAATGAGTTAAACTAAATCGGGTGGAAGAAATAATTTCAATCTGTACATAGTAATTTCTCATTGTATGATAAATAATTGGACATGCGTGTTTCATAGGCATCCAAGCTTACAAATTAACCAACATATTTAATTGTTTGTATTCATCTGATAAAATACCTTAAGATAAATTTGCTGTCTATCCTCTTCATAAAAGAAACTTCCTTGTAGATGGACCTTGCATAGGCCTCAGAGGTAGGCACCTTCAGTGCTAGGTTGTTTTTAAACTTAACATAAAATATTTCGAACGGTTACTGGGATGTCACATCCGTAAACAATAATAGCAAAGATAAACTGGTAACATTTCTACAGGATTAATCACAGTAAACATGTATTGTTCTGCTGCTACTGCTTTAAAATCTTAAACTACAATTACTGTCATGACTGTGTTCTTATGCTACTACTATTGCTACTCCCTCTATCCCAGTATCACTTTAGTTTATCATGATAAGTTCAATACCTTGTACACTGAACCGAATCCTCCACCTCCCAAAATCGGAAGCATCGTGTCTTCCTTCCAAAAAAGCGCCCGAACCTTAAACAATGAAGAAAGGGAAAATGATAAAAAAATGTACCTAATATTGAAATAGATACTTTAATAAAACGGCCCGATTACTTTGAAAACTAAGCTTTAAAGACGCTCATTTTGATTAATAAGAAACAAAGTTATAAATATCTGTGCGGGGTGAAGTACAGCTATATTGATACCAACAGTTCAGTTTTTGATTTTTGTTCTGCTAAAAAGAAATATCTTACCTCGTTTTCGAGTCTGAATATTTCTCTGTGAAAAATATACATGTAACTGTATTTCATGCCTAAAAAGGGCAAATTCGACGCAACTATCATCGCGTATATCGTCTATTTTACTCAAAAGAAAATCGCTGTATTCACTTTGCTTGCGCGCAGCATATCTCCAATAGCTTTTGTGCTACCTGGTAACGTCAGCACGGGCCAATGACGTCACAATATGTTTTACCTTTTAAGGATATATATCTATCACGAGAAATACGCATGCGCCTTAAATGGGAAATGGGCGTTTTTTCATGCTAAAATTTATAAGGTTGAAAGTAGGCCTATATTGTTACTGCCCAAAGCAGCAAATGATTTTGATAAACGCAATATTCTATACCGACTTGTAACTTGCTTACAGGTGAAATACGCCTTCGATTTGAAGAAACATTGAAATTCTCTGTTTAAGGTAGATCGGTCGTTACATGTTCCAACGTTCGAATTTTTTTAATTTTTTTTTTGTTTGAAGAGACACCCAAGTACATTAAAAATTTGCAAAAAAAATTGGGGGTCACCGACCAAATAAGAGAACTAGCCCCAAATATGATACACCCTGCATATCGCACTAGTCTCCATTCAAATCAATGGGAAAATGGGTGTTTTCTCACTAAAGCATTTTTTTTATGACTTTCTGACGTTCGAATTTTTTTAAATTTTTTTTTTGTGTAAAGTGGCCTCCAAGTACATTTAAATTTTACCAAAAAAATTGGGGGTCACCGAC